CTTGAAGAACAATCTTTTTAAGAGTGTATGAATGGAAATCATTGGCATTTTAAGGTATTTCTCAAGATAGCATTAATAAAGTTAATGAGCTAGCATCAAAAAACCTAAACAAATACCAATAAAGTTAAAATGCTTTAACTTTGTCATTAATAAAGTTAATAATATGAGTTTAATAATGTTGATAAGCTAGCATTAATTAAATTCTGGATTTGTTCATCTCTTCTTAATCTCTCCTTTAAAAGCTCTTCATATATCATGATCCTCATATGATTCATATATAAATGCTCCGTTATCTTCATCACTACTTTCCAAAACCGCTGCAGCAGCTTCAGCAGCTGTAAACTCTCTGCACGCCGTTTCACACGAGTCTCTGATGTGGACTGAATGAAGAATGAAGGGTTTCCGGTGTGATGGTCAGTGCTTAGTGATTTCCTGAGTGTCCATTGGTCAGTTTCACACAGAATGTAGACGGACACACCAATCCACCAGCTCCACACGGTGAGAGGCAGATGACGTGTATCTCAGCCCCTCTTCATAGGCTCATAACTCCGGATGTGAGTGTCGTATGATCTCGTGATAAGATGGAATGGAAAGGGCGACTCTACAGATTCAGGAAGTGTTTGAACTGGATTTCTGAGCTGGATCATCACAAAGATACACAAACAGAGACTTTGACGTAAGGCTTGTTTATGGACCCCAGAGGGTTAACAAATCCAAGTATTAATAAAGTTAACAAGTTAAAAACAAACTGGTTGGTAGCAGGAATACTGCTGTTTTATGGGAATTATATCATTTATCAGTATCACAATGTGCCGATACAGACGATATATCGTCCAGAACCGCAGTGAAACGTGAACTCACTGTCTGCTGGTCCTCTTCAGACTCTTTGATGTTTTCATGTCGTGGTTAACTTCTCATGCGCAAAACAAACTCGGGCCAGTTCATGAGAGGGCATCTCATTCTTTTTCCTAGACGTGAGAATGCTTTGATCTGTGCTCGTGTTCCAGACTAACCTGGCTGTGAGGGATTAGCAGAGATTCAGAAGTCCAGCTTTAGAGTTCAGCCTGCAGATCTGCATGACCGCTGGACAAAATCAAGGCTTTTTAGGAAACACCTACAGCAATGAGAGACGCAGACACGTAACAAAGCTGAATTAACGAGTGGAGAAGCTTCCAGAAAGGCCTACTGCACGATACAAATACACAGTTAAAAGGGCAATTCCACCCATTTTTTACAATTTCTGTATAAGTTACTGTGTGAGATGTAAACAAAGTGATTCATAGTGGTTTGGTGTGATTAATTAAATAAACATGACAACTTCATTTATAAATTTATAGAGCACCTTTTATAAAAATAGCAGCTCAAGGTGTTTTACAAATACGTGATACCATTCAATAAAAGTAATAAAAGAACTAGTAAAATGAAAAAAAAAAATCAAATTAAATATAAAGGTTAGTCTAACTTGGTGGAGCTTCAGCTAAGCTGAGAACAACGATTCAGAAAATGTAAATATGTTATTACATAAAACTGACTGTATGGATGAAGAGAATACAAACTGTTCTACCTCAGTACTTACACAGATATATATTTATATTTAAATAATTAAAATATTATTTATCATAATTTCTGCATAACTCACAAAGTGTGTGAGGTATAAACAGAGTGATTCAGAGTGCTTTGGTTTTAGACCAAAATCTTCTCTAAACTATCATAAAACAGTGTCTCAGTCATCAGGCAGTGAATTCATAACCATTTCATGTAATAACTTGCTGTGAAGGAGCTTTTAGAGGTGGGGTGCAGTGTGCACCAGTAGAACACTACAGGCCTGAATTCTGGAACCCCTGCAGTGGGGGGGGCTGGGTCCAATGGCTTTGTTACTCTGACCACCTTTACCCTCCAATAAAACATGTCCACCTTCCTGTGGACTGTAGTTCAAACCACATTCTGCCACACCTGCTCCAGCTATTGAACTTCCTCAGAAGTCCTTGATTGGCTGCTTATATGGGAAAAGAAATTATTCAAAATGTATTTATCAAATATATTTTTGCGATGTACGAAAATGTCCAAAAAATATTTGTTCAATTTATTTTTGAAATGCATTTATTTGTAGTTGTTACCATATTTAAGTACATTCTTAAAAAAGATGGTTCTTCAAGGGGTTTTTTTCATGATGCAAAGGGTTCTCCAATAATCTGAAGAAGCCTTTCATGATGCAAAGAACCTTTTAATCAAGCAAAGGGTTCTTTGAGTGTTCACACGTCTATATTGAACCATTTTCTTTACTAAAGAACCCTTGAAAAAAGAGACAGGCAGGAAAAGAGAGAGAGAGAGAGAGAGAGAAAGAGAGAGAGAGGTTGTGTTGCTGTGTGTTACACTGACCTGCTTGTCCTTTTTAAAGAGTGACACAATAAACACATCTGATATTATAATTATCTGTTGAAGCTTCTGTGTGATTTTCTGTTTAATATGTTTTATTAATTTGTATTTTTCTGACACTGAGAAACTCATATTCAAGTAACTAAGGGCCTGCACATCTGGACAATCATGGAATTTCCCCCTAACTTCATTCCTAAACTAATGAGTCTGATACAGTAACATACCCTCCCCTCCCCAGTACAGACGGTCTGTATGTGGAAATAAATCAGCCTGCTGTGAATTTGTTTCTGTGATGTCACAAGAATTAACTATTTTACATATACCCGTCTTTCAGCCGACAGCAGTTTAGCTCCGCCCACTCATACTGAAGTTATAAAGAGTGTTTCAGCCCAGGCTGCCTTTTGAATGAGGCACAGTAAAGGACAACCATTCAGAACAGAGCTCATTTGCATATATCACATCAGTCTTAAAGGCACAGTAACAAAAACAGCCTGTTTAACTCTGAGGGATAAAGAGAGGTTGGAAAATGGTCATGCAGGAATAAATTATGAATATTATTGGTGCATAAAAACACACCAACGTTATGATTCAACCTTAGTGGAACAAATAAGACTCATGAAGAATGAGGAATACGGGCCCTTTAATGAACCGAAGGCTGTAATTGTGATCAGACAGTGTTTACGGCCCTGAAGGGGTTCAAACAGTGATTCAGCAGTGTTAGAAAGATTTAGCTCAGTTTGGATTCATCCCACAATTTTCAAGAGGAGCATTATAATAATTTTTAAGTATAAAGTGAAAATGATATTGTATAATAAATAGTGTACGCATTCATTATGTAATTAATGCAGTAATTAAGTCAGAAATGTATTCATTTGGGTTAGAAAGCTTTTTGAATGTTAGTTATTTGTGAGAACAGTAGTGTAAACTGTTTAGGATTTAGTATTTATTTATTTATTTATTTGACACTCATTTTGCAGTTTTACAGAAAGCAAAACTGAATCATGTGAGTATTTACAATGACCACTTATACATTTATTTAAATAGAATAAGACACTGCATGCCTCATAGAGATTCTATAAACCTTCATTTAACATTCTTGTAAGAAAAGGGAATCAGTGCTCAGTTTTGGGATCTGTAGTTTCTTACTGTCTCTGGTTTTCCAGCCTGATATCTGGGCTCTTGAAGGTGGTGGCCACTCTCTGAAAGAGGGGTTTAGGATACTGAAGGCAACCCGTCTACACAGTAAGTCTCTTCTCTCCTTAAGGGTTGGTAATGCGAGAACTTGAAGGGCTTCTTGATGTGTAGAATAAGCCCTGCCGATGGTGATTCGGCACATTTCTGGACAGTCTTAGTCTGGTTCGACAGGTACTGGGTCAGGTTTCCATGCCATGCTGGGCAGGCGTTCTCTAGTATGGGGCAAAAGTAACCAATATAACAACTTTATACAAACACTATCACGCCTCTGTGTCATGTGGTTAATGTTTATGTGGTGGTGATGTAGCTGTTTGTATGTTTATCTGTTACGGATCTAAAGGCAAAAGGTCTCGATCAGTACTGAGATTCAGTCTCTGTATAAATACAGTGGTGAGTCACTCACTACGCCGCGTGGGAATGACTGTTATTCATGACACTTCAGGAAGCTGTTTACCACCTATTACACACTTAGAAATGATGGTTCTCCAAGGGTTCTTCAGTAAAGAAAATGGCTCTAAACAGAACCATGAACACTCAAAGAACCCTTTAATGGTCAAAGCATTCTTTGCATGGTAAAATGGTTCTTCAAACTGATGGAGAATGTGCTGTACATGGTTCTATATAGAATCTTTTTTGAGGGTTCTATATAGCACCAAAAGGGTTCTGCTGTTTACACTGTCAAGCTTGCTACAATAGAAGAACCCTTGTTAAAAAGCTTCTACATAGAACTATCTACAGCACATTCTCCATCGATCTGACGAACCATTTCACCATGCAAACGGTTCTTTGTGTGTTCATGGTTCTATTTAGAAGCATTTCGTTTACTAAACGACCCTTGAAGAACCATCTTTTTTAAGGGTGTCTTGCTGCATAGAACTTGTGGTTCTATATAGAACCATTGTATTTACTAAAGAACCCGCAAGAACCATCTTTTTTAAGAGCGTTGTGATGTATAGAACTAATGGATCTACATAGAACCATTGTCTTTACTAAAGAACCATCTTTTTAAAGAGTGTGCTGCTATATAGAACTCATGGATCTATATAGAACCATTGTATTTACTAAAGAACCCTCGAGAACCATCTTTTTAAAGAGTGTGCTGCTATACTGAACTCACATTTCTAAATAGAACCCTTGTTTTTTTTTACCGAAGAACCCTTAAAGAACCATCTTTTTAAAAGCCTCGCACTGTGTTGAACTCATAGTCCTAAACAGAACCATTGTTTTACCAAAGAACCCTTGAAGAACCGTCTTTCGTAAAGGAGTATCGCTCCGCAAGTGTAAGTCTGTTTCTGATTGGCTGAGGGCGGCGACCCACAGGCCGTGGCTCTCCTCCGCCAATCACAGAGCGCGGCGTCACTGTCTCAGCCTGTGATTGGTCGGAGCGGAGACAGCGGGGAGTAATTATAAAACGTCGTGCGCACGCTTTCAGGGTCTTCAGTGAGACAGCAACGGCTACTGAGTCGGATCCCGGAAAGCGAGCAAAACCGAGCCCTGCCGAGCCCAGCCGAGCCAGCGGGACTTCATTTCGGTTCTAAGAGAGTCAGAGAGCGACCCGGTTCACAGAGCCGGCGCTGAGCAGCCAAACAGCAGCTTGAATTCAGCGGCGTGACCGGTAAGTAGTGATGGGAAGCTCGGTTCATTCGAGTCAGTGAACCGATTCAGATACAATGCGACTAAATAGGCGTAGATTTACGAACTTAAATGTGTCTAAATAGTTGAAAATCATCCTCAAACAACTGTAACTTGTAGCACAGACAGTGTCATTTGTGTAGGTGCTCAGTTCAGTTGCATGTCGAGTCATTGTAAAGAGCCGACTCAAACGATTCATTCATGCTATAGTAAGAGCCTGGGTAGGTTATCGTTATCTGTTATATGCTGTATGTATAAAGTATCCCTAATTCGGTGAATTATTTCACCTCTGCGCTCTTTGTATCTACAAATTGTGCAGAAATGTTAGCTACGTAAAGTGAATCATTTGCTTGACTCTCTGTAACCGTGGCTGTTACTGTAAAGACAATGAACCGGGTCACGCACCGGCTACCTCTGTCCATTTAACCTTAATCCTCTATAGGCTAATTACAATCCTTTTAGAGCTCGTAGACAGACTACAAAGATCTGCTCCGCTCACAGCCTGCAGGACGAACCAGGGGGCGGATCGGCCAGTAGCTTTAGCACATTAGCACATTAGCCCGAGAACCCACGCTGTATATGCAGGGGAAAAGGAGCTGTAGACCTTAAAGGCAAACTCTACCCAATTTTTTAAATTCCTGCATAATTATGCGGTTAAGATGTAAACAAACTCACCCGGAGAGGTTTGATTTGATTGCTGCGTTCTGGAGAAACTCGCAGAGTCAGATCTGTTCACAGTGGTGGTGATAGGAACCAGACGTCCACCTCTAAAAGCTCCCTCACAGACAGTTATGAAATGGTTATGAATTCACTGAGAAGGTTTTGTCCTAAAGCACGTTTTAAATGGTGGAGGGATACTGGAGTCAAAATAGTTCCCCAAAAAACCCATAAGTGATCTGCCAGTATTAACATAACCTAAAATGGCGATGTCCAAAGAAAATCATGTTTTTTTTATTGTTTTATTTTTTACTTTTCTCCATTATCTGAGCCTGGCAGAACACTTCACGATGCGTGGACCAACAGAAATGCTCCAAAACAGCTTGGAATAAAATCTCTGCATTAACTTACATTAGATGTTAATGCAAAGTTGAGCGTCTTTAAGGGACCTGTCAATCAAATAATGTCCATATCTGAAATTTTTTATGCACTTTGGTCCATATCGGCACGCCTCCGGACAAATCTGGAGAAATGTTTTGAATAAATCAGACAACATGGATAAAAAGTGGATCAGAATTTCCTGTTCGTTGACTACTGTTTGTTTGTTTTTAACCAATAATTACAGTTAGATGGTCATCCAAATATAAACATGTCATCACTTTAGAGCAGTGCTGCCCAAATTGTTTGATTTGGGCCAACAGAACCTCACACAGTGAAAGAAACACGATTTTGGGTTTAATATAACACATAATGTTCATACTTTTCCCTTTAAGTTTGTCTTGTTGAGCTGTTTAATTGGCAAAATGTATCTTAATATCATACACACTTAAAAATGATGCTTCTTCAAGGGTTCTTTTGTAAAGAAAATGGTTCTATATAGCGCCAAAAAGGGTTCTTCTGTTATTACAAGCTTGGTATCATAACAAATCAAGAACACTTTTTCAAAAGGGGTCTATATATAACCATATACAGCACATTCTCCATCAATCTGAACGCTTTCATGATGCAAAAAACCATTTAAGCATTCAAAGAATTCTTTTAGTGTTCATGGTTCTATATAGAACCCTTGCAGAACTATCATTGTTAAGAATGTAGAATCTTTAAAAACTGTGACTCTTCAGTTCTGCAGTGTTATTGCTCAGTACGCTGCAGAAAGTTTGTGCACCCCTGTTTCAGAGCACCAGAACGAGTTCTTTCCTTTTTTCCTGCTGACTTTAACAGCAGCGCATGAAGGGGTTAATATACCAGTGCGCAGTTGCAGCCTGAAGGGAAGCGTGTCTGAGTGCGGAGGACGGCGCTGAAACCTCGGCTGAACTCTGAAAGATGCCTGAACCACCACCCCCTCCCAGGCCCCTCTCTGCGTGCACACAGGCCGTCTTGCACGTAGCTCTGCCTCGCGCTCTCAGACTCGGCCGCCTCGCTTCCCTTATTCACCACACTGACCTGCATGCAGCTGCTTTTCTGCACCAAATCAGCAGCTTTGAGAGGGAAAGTGTTCAAAGTGGGGCTGAACTGTGTCACTGTTTACCATTATGGTGATAAGTGACATCACAGTGTCACTGAAAGCTTTCTGAGCGTATTGTTGATATCATGAGCACTAAAATCTGCATGTTTATTACATCATTATTCCTGTTTAATATGGTTTCGCGCAGCACAGTGTGTGAAGTGTTGAGTACAAATCATTGTGCTGATAGTTTTCATAGTATTTTTTAAATGTGGCGCTACCTTGTCCTACACTCTTAAAGAAATATGGTTCTTCAAGGGTTCTTTAGTAAATAAAATTGTTCTATAGGGAATCTTACACACTTAAAGAACCCGTTGCATGATTAAAGGGCTCTTTGCGTTGTGACTTGGTTCTTCAGATCTTCAGAAAAGGGTTCTGTGTAGCAGCCAAAAGGGGTCTTCTGTTATTACATGCTTGGCATTGTAGCGTTAAAAGAACCTTTTGGGTGCTATACCGAACCTTTTTCAAGAGGTTCTATAGAGAGCACATTGTTCATCAATCTGAAGAACACCTTTCATAATGCAGAGAACCTTTTAATCATGCAAAGCGTTCTCTAAGTGTTCATGGATCATTTTCTTTACCAAAGAACCCTTGAAGAACCCTCTTTTTTTATCCAACCCAAATTCACCCAAAAGGGTTCTTCTATAATTACATTCTTGGCATTGTAGCGTTAAAAGAACCCTTTTGGGTACGATGTAGAACCATTTTCAAAGAGGTTCTATATAGAACTGTCTACAGCACATTGTCCATCAATCTGAAGAACCCTTTCATAATGCGGAGAACCTTTTATCATGCAAAGTGTTCTTTAAGTGTCCATGAATCATTTTCTTTACCAAAGAACCCTTGAAGAACCGTCTTTTTTTACCCAACCCAAATGCACCCAAAAGGGTTCTTCTGTTGTTACAAGCTTGACATTGTAACAATAGCAGAACGCTTTTCAAAAAGGTTCCATATAGAACCATCTACAACCTATAGAGTTCTATATAGAACCCTTTCATGATGCAAAGAGCCCTTTAATCATACAAAGTGTTCTTTGAGTCTTTATAGAACCATTTTCTTTTCTAAAGAACCCTTGAAGAACCAGATTTTTAAGAGTGTAACGTATCAAATGTCAGAAGAAAATTATATCGTGTATTGTAAACATTTCTTTAAGCATCGTGATGTTGCGTTTTTACCGTATCGCCCACCTCTAAGCTTAAAATCCCAGTAAAGAATGTCATACTGTGGTAATGCAGCGTGCAGTGATGTGGTTCTATAACGTTCTCCGTCAGAGAGGGTTATTAAGTGCTGTGCTGGTGATCTCAGAGCTGGAGCAGCTCAGTTTCGTGCCGTTTAAGGCGTGACGCAGTGGCATGTTTTACAGCAGCGCTATCTCTTTAAGCCCTTTTCTGCAGAGTCACGCTTACTCCACACTCTGTTATGTAACCGAGCTGCTGGCTGAGAGGATTAACCCACCAGCGGAGGCGCTGTTCTCAGAGCAGAGCTGCTGAACTCCTGCTGACCTGCAGTCAGTGCTTCTCTCTTCAAAGCGCTCATTCTTCTCCGTCTGGGGCGACAGCTTGAAGCCAGCGCCGGGCGATACTGATGACAATCAGTATCGCAAAGTATAAGGCGTTTGATATTTAATAGCAGCAATAAAGTTCATAATTTAGCATTAAAAAAGTTATTAATGAACTTAATAAGTTAGCATTAGTAAAGATAATGGGTTGTCTTTAATAAAGTTAATAGATTATCATTAATAACTTGAAGGTGAATCAGTTTTGCAGGTTTTGTATCTTTTCACTGAAAAAAATAGTCACAGTATCAGATAATATTTCACTTAGGATCAATAAAGTAAATTAGCAGTGCAGTTAATAAGTCATCACTAATGAAGTCATTAGTTTACATCACTGTAGCTAATAAGTTAGCATTAATAAGGTGAATAAATTAGCATTAATGCACTTTTTACTAGCAAAGTTAATGTTAATAACTAATAAAGTGAATAAGTTAGCAGTAATAAGTGAAAAGTTAATAAGGTAGTTAAACACTAATAAAGTGAATGAGTTGGCATTAAAAAGGTATAAAAACTGTTTGGCAACACAGTCTGCTATTATTAGGAATATAATACTCATTATCTGTCAGATATATTGGTAAAATATCGTTGAAGTATCACCGTATACAGATTTAGACGATATATCGCCCAGCTCTGCTTCCCTGACTTTTGCAGTACCTCTCTCTTAAAAATAAGGTGCCAAACAGGGGTTCTTTGGAGCGTTTGGTTCCATAAGGAACCTTTAAAGGACAATTTGTCAGAGTTTACAGAAACCTGATGGTGGATGGTTTTTCAAGTGTTCTTTAGTAAAGAAAGGGGTTCTACATAGCACCTAAAAGGGTTCTTCTGTTGTTACAAGCTTGACATTGTAACAGTAACAGAACCATTTTTGGTGCTGTATAGGATCCTTTTCAAAAAGGTGCTATATAGAACCACCAACAGCACATTTTTCATCAGTCTGAAGAACATTTCACAATGCAAAGAACCCTCTATTCATGCACAGGGTTCTTTGCGTGTTTGTGGGTATATATAGAACCATTTTCTTTACTAAAGAACCCTTAAAGAAGTGTAGAAGTGTAACAATAGAAAAACCCTTTTGGGTGCTGTATAGAACCTTTTTCAAAAAGATTTTACATAGAACCATCTACAGCACATTCTTAAGAACCGTTTCATGATGGAAACAACGCTTTAATGATCTTTTCTTCACTAAAGAACCCTTGAGGAACCGTAGAGTGTAGGATGTGGGCCCTTTAAAGTTTGTAAGGTTATTTTTAGCCAGTGGACCTTTATTTTGTAAGAGTGCTCGGTCTGTTAACTTCCTCCAGTCACCATCATCCTGGATACGCTCCCTGCCCCCCTTACACAACCGCCCCCCCCCCAACCCCACCCCCCGGCTCCCCGCCCCCTTCGCATGCTGGAACTTTCAGCTGGCTCCGGAGCCATCCCTTTCCCGGCCGGCTGATGTCATAGCTGGTAAGAGGAGACCCCCGCCCCCCTGACACTGTGGAGTGAATGTGCTCAGGGTTGTTTCCTTTTTCTGCTGTATGCTCGGGGGGGAGTGGATCACCTCACGCTTTAGGTCAGAGCTGCAGATCTGCACTGTTACAGTCTTTTTAGTGAGGTGAAGTGAAGGGCAGGAGGAGGACGGAGCGGAACTGAGAGATCAGAGTCCTGATTGGGAGGCGAAGCAAAGTGTGAGATTCTGTTTGACTGACTGTACGTTTCCTCTTCTCTGACACAGCTGGACAGATTCAGACATGGACCTGCGCAACAAAGAGCCTCTGTGTGAGGACGTCATACCTGTGGTGATCATCGGTAAGAGCCCTGCATTGTTTCTGAAAGCTCTGAAGAGCCGAATTCCTCTGAAAGGCTGTTATGCGCCGAGCGTCGTCACTCTGCTGATATGATGAGTGAAGACGTTTGCTGGAAAAGAAGGACGATTTGTGATAAAGGCTTGTTTTTCTCATAATTATTCTCATAATTAAAACCGGTGTGGTTTTGTTTACAGGTAATGGACCTTCGGGAATCTGCCTGTCGTACCTGCTCTCAGGTTACACCCCATATCTGTCCCCAGAGGGCTCCCACCCGAACCCAGTCCTGCACAGCAAGCTCGCCCAGAACCCTCACCTGTCTCTGTTTGAACAGGTAACAGATGTAAACATGATCACATGCTCTCGTCTACACCTTCAGCTCAGCAGTGCAGAACCTTTATAACACATGACTGGTGCAATAACACCTTAATTACCTCCGGGGCCTTAAACAGTCCCGTCTTGTCTAAAGCATGACCTCATCCTTTTTAGTGTGGTTAATGATTCATTAGAAATTGATTAACCTGTCTATAATTTTATTAATGCGTTAATTTATCTAAATAATTTACTGTCATAACAAAGCTTTGTTTCAATTTTATTTGTCCTAAAAGTTTAACTGCGCTGTTAATTCAGATTTTAACACCTGTTACCTTTTAAAGGGCCCATTTCACGGAAAACCAAACTTTCCTCAAATTTATAAAGTTCTGTTGTTGTGTGTAAACATTACTAAAGTTCCAAAACATCCTCAATCCATAAGACCATATATGGAAACTGAGCTGCCTGTTTTAAATTTACTGTTTTTGTGATGTCACACTAGCAAACTACTTTGCATATCAGCCTATTCAGCCTACAGCCATAATAATAATAATGTTTATTTGTGTAGCGCCTTTCTTACATTAAGCATGCAGCTCAAAGTTCTGCACAATACAAAGGAAAAACAACAGAGGAAGAAAATAAATAATAAATAGCAGAAAATGGGATTATTGTTAATTATTAATAATAATTACAATTTCAAAGCACATGATAAAAGTATAAATAAACATACAATGAAAATGCAATTAACAGTAAGTAAAAGTAATAGTAATATTCCAGTATAGCAATTAATCTGTACCTATTAACACTGAATTTAAGCAGTATTTCAGCCCTTTTTTGCACAATGCAGGGCAGCCAATCAGAGCTGAGCTCATTTACATATATCAGTCTTAAAGACACAGTATATTTAATTATAAGGGATAAACAGAGGTTGGAAAATGGTCATGTGGAAATGAATTATGGTCTTTTTGGTACATAAAACTACACAAACATTGTAAGTGGAGCTCAGGGGGAAAATAGATACATAGAAATTTAGCATATGGGCCCTTTAATATATCTCAGCATAATTACCTAATAACAATAATAGGTCATATTATCAGATTAACGAGAAGCAGTTTATAGGCTGTTTATTAAACTTACAGTAAGTGCTGAGCCACACCAGGAACAGAGTTAGACTAGTTTACTTTGCTTTTTGATATGAGTTGGAGAACCCTGGAGGTTCCTCAGCCTTTTGGAGCTTCTCAGTCAGAAGAAGCTCAGATTTGGCTCCTTTGTTCTGTATGTGCTGAAAACGTGCTCAGATAGTCCACAGGTGAAGCTTTTAAAAATAAAATGAACCAAAGTCCACTATGAATATGCAAATGGGCATGTTTACAGTATTAGCATATTTAAATTCAGCGGTCCTGTTGTAAGAATAAACAAATAAGTGTGTGCTGTGTGTGCAGGACCTGGAGTACCTGTGTGAAGGTGTGGAGGGCCGATCGTCAAACCCGGTAGCCGTGCTGTTCGACTCGCTGCTCCTCCCCGACAGTGATTTCGGGCAGGACTACGCCTCACCACTGGAGTGGAGATACGAACCGGAGAGAGCCACGCCTCACCTGGTTCTGGGAAAAGGTCCTCCGGGCGGAGCCTGGCACGTAAGTCAGCACATCTCACAGGGCTGTGTGATATACACCACCTGTATCGGTATATCGTGATATTAGTTTTAGAAATATATTTGATACTAAATGAGCATTAAATCTCTAATAATGCTCATAAAATAACTATTTCTGTCATGAAGCTGTTTGTTTTTAGACAACGCTGCGTAATGCTGCTTCATTAATAATTGTAATAATAATAATAATAATAATAGTAACAACAACAACAATAATAATAATAATAATAATAGTAATAATAATAATAGAATTTTATTTAAAAGCGCCTTTCAAGACACACCAAGGACAGTGTACACTCTTGAAAAAGATTCTTTAAGGGTTCTTTAGTAAGGAAAATGGTTCTATATAGAACATGAGCACTCAAAGAACCCTTTGCATGACTAAAGAGTTCTTTGCATGTTGAAGAGGTTCTTCAGATTGATGGAGAATGTGTTGTATAAGGTTCTCTACAGAACCTTTTTCAAAAGGATTCTACATGGCACCAAAAAGGGCTTGCTAGCTTGGCATTGTAACAGTAGCAGAACCCTTTTTGGTACTAAATAGAACCAACACATTCTCTATCAATCTGAAGAACCATTTCACCATGCAAAAAACTATTTATGCATGCAAATGGTTCTTTGAGGGTTCATGGTTCTATATAGAACCATTTTCTTGTGTAGTGCTCAATGAACCATAAACATTTAAAGAACCCTTTGCATGATTAAGGGTTCTTTGCATAATGAAAGCATTCTTTAGATTGATAGAGAATGTGTTGCAGATGGTTTGGTATAGAACCCTCCACTATTGTTACCAAAGAACCCTTTTTTGGTACTATATAGAACCCTTCTTGCTAACAGTGTTCAGTTAGACCATAATACAACATTAAGAGACCAAAACAACAAAACCTAATGATTCTAATTAATAAATGAATAATGGTCCAAATAAATAAATGCTGTTTATTTTAAAAAGTTGAATTGCATTTATTGCTGCTACATTAATAATCCTGTTACTGCCAGCTGTTAATAATAATATTAAGGTAATAATAATATCAGATGATAGCAAAACGTATTTTAGAGCGTTAACTTCTTCACCAAGGAGGAACAGAGTGATTTAGGACGGAGCCGGTGCAGGTAGAGCGACCTGCATCCTGCAGTGTTTATAAGGACGAGCGCAGTGTTTCCGTATCGCGCTGAAGATTATATCAGCATTTTTACTCCACGCTGCTCGTACACGTGATCCGAGCCCTGAGCTCCGCCCCCCAACCGCAGGCGTGAGTGTGGAATGTGGGTGTAAAACCGAGGAATGTGCTTTCGGTTTTCAGTTTGAGGTCTGGGTGATGGAATGAGTCGGATTTGTCACGTTCTGTACGTTTCAGATTAAACCAAACAATGACTCTGCTGTTATTAGAGCAGAGGAGCAGATTAAAGGGCAGACGGCGCCACGTTCTGCCTCTGTATTAAAGGGTTAATCAGCGATATTGTAGCGTGGGATGGGGGGGGTCCTGCTTTTCTGGCAGAGTCTAGATGTTTCTCACTGCAGCCACTGCTTTGTTTGAGGGAAAGTACAGGTCAGTCTGAACCACAGCACTGGGCCTTAAACTCGCTGAGAAAGTAGTTGTGGGCAGTATGGTGATATTTTATCCACATCATGATAAATGACTTCTCCTCTAGGGGCTGCACTGATTAGTCAGCTTCACTGCTCAGTGATGGCGCTTTACTCATGATGTTGATGAGTCACTGATCACGTGATTGACAGTAATGGCATGGACGCCTGAGAGAAGACAGCAGGTGAGGAGGCTGGTCATTTCAGGGTCTGTATCTCTGGTTTCCTGAAGGTCAGCAGTGTGTCCGATGGCTTGTTGGAAAGGGCAGGTCATGATCTACTGACCAGTAGAGTCTGGCTTCGTTCTAACAGTTCTCTACTTGATCTACAGAGCTTCAAATATCAGATACTAAGCGTCATTTTCTCCAGTTAGGCTGCAGTATAAAGTCCTGTGTGGTTGGAGATTCAGCACAACGCCCTGTGATCCTGTACAGCTTGAAGTCGTTTACTCTTATGGTGCTCTAAATTTCTCTGGCTGTCCACAGCTCCTCTGCAGACGAACATCTCGGACATCTCGAACATCTGAAGGCTAGCAGTGCAACCCGGGGCTTGTTGGAAAGGGAACATCAGGTTCTTGTGACCTGCGCTGTTTGGCTTTGGAACAGATTTTTAACGTCGGGTTTTTGAAGTCGCTTGTTGCAAAGCATTCCTTCTCCTGTGGTTTTATTCATGACGTCGTCAGCGATTAGTCGATGCCGAATCTACTTTTATACAAGTCTTTTTAGATAAATTTGAAGTCGTGCAGCTGCTTGTTTCACAGTACGCTTGTCTGAGCATGTGGATACAGTCAGTCCTTAAAGACAGACGGACAGACTGCATGTTTCACAAAGAGAGCGTAATTAAACAATAAGATCTATTGATTCAAGCCAGAGAACCCTGTTTTGGTACTATAAAGAAGTTTGTAAGTTAAATTAAGTTAATGAAAAGAGATTTGATTCAAAGCTATTTTGTATTCTATTGGTATTTCTATTGGTATTTCCATTTGTATTTCTATTGGTCCATCCATTCTGAAATTTTCACAAAATGTAAAGCTGCTGAGCTCAAATTATGCAGAAAACAAACATGTAAAAAAAAGGACTTACTTGGGTTTTTTGGACAACGATGTTGTGATATTTATTTTGTAAAAATCATTTTACAAAATCATTGGCTTTGTTTGATGCCCTGTATTTAAAATAAAGGGGTCAGTAAAACGTAAATAAAGCGTAGTTTGGCTTTTTAATGTAAAAGGTTGTACAAAATAAAATAGAAAACAAAATAACTGATAACTGATAATCCAAAATAAGGGTGGAGAGGTCATGTTTTTAAACTGAAGGGGCTCAGTTAGTCCTGTGTGATTAGATAACACATCGAATGAAAGTCATTGTTCATAGTTTTTGATATTATTTCTAAATTTGGCTGCACTAATGAGTTTTTGGTCTGTTAAACTAAATATTGTGTATCGATAAAATGTCTAAGTATCATGATATTATATTTGTGCAGGCTGTGGGGTTTTAACTTGACATAAAACACAGACTCTTCTACTGTAAAATTCATATTTGAAGTTCGCTCAACTCAAACTTTCGAGGCAGCCCAAACACAAACATTTTTTTAAAGTTAAAATGAGATCTTGGCAAGTGAAACATCTTCAATCTAGCAAATATATTGAATCAATATTAGATGGTTGTAAGAATATTCTATGATTATTCAACACATTTCCTGATGTTTATCCTTCGTTTTAGTGATTTTTATCTAGAAATTTTGTACTATTTTATCAGCAAATGCTAGAAATAATACTAAAAACAAGCCAAACTATCTGACAGTGGAATAAGACACTTTAACGAAATAAAATTACTTTAAGAGAACCTTAAAAGAGGTTAAATGATCTTATAATGTTCTTACAACAGTTTCATAATGAGAAATATCAGATATATAACTACATTTAAGATGTTTTGACTTGCTAAGATATGATTTTTAGCACTTTTGGAGGGTTTTGGTTGTTTTTTCAGCGTTTCCACTCTAAATATCTTCCACGTCTTTTGCATTTTCATATTTTTGAATAGTCACAAACCTAGAAAATTTAAATAGTAAATTAGGCGTCTTTGTAGTAAAATTAGCTGTGGTTTAAAAATAGAACACAGAGTTTCTCTTTACTGCGGTTACAAGTCCACACCACGTCACGTGGATCCACTGGACTGGTGGAAGTATTTGTTCCTGTAATGGTTGATTGTGGAGACTCAGATCTCTTTACAGTGGGGGTGATGGGAACCAGGGGTCGCCATGACTACAACACAAATACAGACATTTTATTTACTATCCAGAACCACCAGTGAACCTACACGAGTCTTCTGAGTTTATATGGAATGTTGATGATGGAAAATAGTGGAAAATCTAAAATAATAAGTTTTCTTTAGGGACTATTTTGCCTCACAGCGCCCTGCATGTATCCCTCCACCATGAATGGAGTTTAAAAATACGGTTAATAAAACACGCTGCAAAATTATATCTTGGCAGGAAAATGATCTACTTCTCATTTTGAAATGGTTGTGGGAATATTTGTATAAGGATTATGTAATTTATATCTAGACATGATTTTACTTGTTTTACTGTAATTAAAGTAACAGAGGGACACACCACCAAATATTGAGAAATTCTATAACAGAAAAAAATGACTATGCTGATAATAGAATTTGTAATGAAAAACTTTGGATTAAATTAGAAAGGAATGCAAAATAGACACAGTCTCAGATGTTTGGAACCCACTGTGAGTATTTCTGCACAAAGAGCATCTGACAGCTTTGTTCCGCACTGTGTTCTGGATGGCAGTTTAATATATATGCACCAATACGCAGAACCGCTTTGAGTTCCACAGAAAGGGGAACGTTATTCCGGTTTTTCTTGGTAGGGCACAGTGGCTCATTGTTGGTGCTGCTGTTGTTCCCGTCCACAGACTGAATCAGCTGCTGGTCCTGTGTTTTGCATATGGAGCGTCAGGTTTCTCTGACTGACCCTCTGTGTTGTTCTGCAGGCGATGGAGGGATCCATGCTGACGCTCAGCCTCGCTGACTGGATGGAGCTTCCAGGCCTGAAGCTGAAGGACTGGATGAGGGAGAAACGCAGGTATGAAGATCCTCATCAGGAGCCGTACGGTTCAGACCGGTCGGCTTAGGAGTGTCAGTGCAGGATCACCACCACATATACACACATTCAAACAAATACACACGAGTTCTACAGAGGACCATTTCAGGCTTTATGCTTCAGTGGTTCTCTGCATGCTGAAATGATTCACAGATTGATGGAGAATGTGTTGTATATGAAAATGGTTCTATATAGCACTACACTCTCAGAAAAGATGGTTCTTCAAGGGTTCTTTATAGGACAACACATTCTCCATCAATCTGAAGAACCAATTCAGCATGCAGAGAACCATTAAAGCATGAAATGTTTCTATATAGAACTCATGGAAATAGATATTTCATATATAGTCAACTTCAGTTCCTCCCAAATAATCTGTTAAAGGGCAAGTCCACCGATTTTCAAGAATAACTGGGTGTGTAGACGTAATCAGAGTGATTCAGAGTGGTTTGGTGTGTATCCTGCCTTCCGCCCAATGAGCACTGGGATAGGCTCCAGCACCCCACCACGACCCAGAAGGATAAGCAGTTTAGATGATGGATGGATGGATGGTTCAGATGTCTTTACAGTGGTGGTGATAGGAACCAGGGGTTTCCATGACTACAACACAAATATAGACATTTTATTTACTATCCAGAACCACCAGTGAACAGCGAGTCTTTCTTTGGGGACTAGTTTGCCTCACAATTGCCTGCATGTATCCCTCCACCATGAATGGAGTTTAAAAATATGTTTTAGCCCAAAAAAAGGGTTGTAAACAATCAGGCAGTGAATTCATAACCATTTCATGTAGGAACTTTCTGTGAGGGAGTTTTTAGAGGTGGACGTCTGGTTCCTATCACCACCACTGTGAACAGTTCTGACTCGGTAAGTTTCTCTAGAACAGAGCGTTTCACACCAAACCACTCTGAACGACTCTGTTTACATCTCAATCATTTAATTATGCAGGAATGTTTGAAAGTTGGTGGGTTGTCAGTCCTCGTTATGCAGGTGCTAATAGCTCTCAGTGGTCCTCATTAACTTCATCATAGCTGATGTGACTCAGTGTAAAAGCTTCCATCTTGACTTGTTTTCGGAAGTCAGTCTACGTCGTTATTTGTTTATGGTTTTGCAGGAATTCTGTGACGCCGTCTACAGAAACCTTACATACAAATTTGTGATAACTAGAAAGAAGTGAAGTGTTTGTCAGTGTTGAACGGCTGAGCTGCAGCTTCTCGTACTAGATCCACCTGTTTGTGCACTCATGTCAGATTAGATCAGGTCTAATAAAGCAGGACAATAAAGTTCTAATTTCACTAAAGTTCACTACTGACAAACTCCTCAACCTGAAACATCTCATAACATCCTGAGACTGAAAAAAGAGCAGCTGAGCTGGTTTTGAGGTCTGAATTGATGTAAAATGTTACTTTTGTTTATGTAAACAACAAATTTGCTTTGCATTCTTTCATTCAAACTATTAATTTGGGTTAAATCAAACTGACAAAGTCAGTTTTTATGTTAATCTGACTTTTTTTTTTCCTTTTAGTGACTTTTAGTTATTATATTCATCACATTTATTATATTTTATTCATAAAGCACATTTAAAACTAATGAAGGCTGTTCAAAGTGCTGAACAATCCAGTAGAGGAAAATGACCAAAACAGTAAACATAAGGAGAACAAATGCATTTAAATTAAGGCATTTATAATAAATAAAATATAACAGTAGCAAAATGGTAATAATAGTAATAAAAACACAGATAACAGAGAAGATGAGACACAGAGATGTTCAACCTAAAACATTAAATTATGAATCTGAATATCTTAAAAAAAAATCACTGTTTGAAAGAAATGACCAATTTCTTTGATGTAAAAATCTGTTTATTTATAATAACCCCATTAATATCAGTGACAGTTGCTTTCAAATATGTAAAATTGCACGCTGCTCATTACTCCAGTACTCATTACTGCAGTATTACCGTATTGATTAATGTGTTTAGAGTCTAAACTCGACCTGTGATGTTGTTACTGAAGTAAAAGTAACTTTCCAAAAAACTTTAGTAGACGTACGAAAGTAGCAGCTCAAAAAACTGCTTAAGTACTGCGTAGAACTGAGTGGAACTTCCTAGAACGTCCAGCGTATATCAGCGCAGGAGCTACGAGGCTGAAATTGGCTTCTTGTTCAAACTTTTCATTCCAGCTTAAATAAAAATTCTGCAGTGCCAGAATGTAACAGCTGCACCATTTAAGGTGGAATGGAAAATTCAAATAAGATGCTGGCAAAAGGACACTGTTGTGTTCTGTGTTCGCTGGGTTGAGTCAGAGTGTCTACTGTAATCTCTTAAAAAAGATGGTTCTTCAAGAGTTCTTAGGTAAGGACAGTGGTTCTATATAGAACCTGGAACACTCAAAGAATCATTTGCGTGCTTAAATGTTCTTTAGATTGATGGAGAATGTGTTGTACTGGTTTGTATAGCACCAAAAAGGGCTCTGCAATCATTAAGATGTCAGGCTTGTCACAAAAGCAGAACTCTTGTTGGTGCTATATGGAACCATTTTCAAAAAGGTGCCATATAGAACCATGCACAACACATCCTCCATCAATCAGAAGAACCGTTTCACCATGCAAAAAACTATTTATGCATGCGAATGGTTCTTTGAGGGTTCGTGGTTCTATATAGAACCATTTTCTTTACTAAAGACCGCTTGGAGAACCATATTTTAAGAGTGTTCAAATTTTCCATTCCACCTTAAATGGAAATTCTGAGGTGCCAGATTGTAACAGCTGCACAATTTAAGGTGGAATGGAAATTCAAATAAGATGCTGGCAAAAAGACACGTTCGCTAGGTCGAGTCAGAGTGTCTACAAGTAATCTCTTAAAGGGTTCTTCAAGGGTTCTTTAGTAAAGAAAATGGTTCTATGTAGAACCATGAACACTTGAAGAAACGTTTGCATGCTTAAATGGTTCATTGCATGGTGAAATGTTCCAAGAAAGAACCAAACAGGGTTCTGCTTTTGTTAAGATGTCAAGATTGCCATAGTAGCACAAGGTATTTTTGGTGCTATATAGAACCCTTTTCTGAAAGTTTCTATATAGAACCACATGCAACACATTCTCCATCAATCTGAAAAACCATTTCACCATGCAAACAACCATTTAAGCATATAAAGTGTTCTTTGAGTGTTCACGGCTCTGTATAGAACCACTGTCTTTACTAAAGAACCCTTGGAGAACCGTCTTTTAAGACTGTTTTAAGTGTTCAAATTTTCCATTCCACCTTAAATAGAAATTCTGAGCTGCCAGAATGTAACAGCTGCAGGTGGAATGGAAAATTCCAGTAAGAAGCTGGCAAAAAGACACGTGTACGTCTCCATTCTTCTGTTTTTGGATCTTTTTGGTCTAAAACAAAATGGTAAAGCTTCAAAGTGAGATGTGTGATTAACAGTAAAGCAGAACAGGATCTGATCCAAAACAGCAGAATGAAATTAGTCCCTAGAAAAAAGAATTAGGAGCTAAATGTTGATGACTAAAAAGGAACAAAGGAAAATGTAGATTATTCACTGAGTAGAACTACAAATTTGCTTTTTGTTACAGGAGTGAGTTTGAACTGTTATGTAACGATATTCTGAAAGTAGCACATTATTATTTATTTATTTATTTTTTATTTATTATTTATTTTCTAACTCTCATGTGATGTTTTGTTCTGTGTCTGTTAATCAGGAACGTCCGTAACGACCGCGCCACGCCTGCTGAGATCGCCTCCTACTACCAGCACTACGTCAGACAGATGGGCCTGGAGAGGAGTTTTGCCTGTGGCACCAAAGTCACCTCCGTCCACCGGGTGTCCCTCAGGTCCGGCCGCTCCGTGTGGAAGGTCCAGGGCCTGCAGCGGCGAGCTGCCGAAGGTGAAGAGCAGACGGACGCCGAGATCCCGTTTTCCGCGTGGGCCGAAAACGTGGTCCTTGCCACCGGCACCCATGACATCCCAGCGAGGCTGAGCGTGGAGGGCGAGACGCTGCCCTTCGTGTGTCACAGCTTCTGGGAGCTGGAGGCGGCGATCTCCACTGGCCGTCTGGACCGGGCGTCTGAGCCCATCCTCGTGGTCGGGGCGGGCCTGACAGCTGCTGACGCCATCCTGGCTGCCCACCACCTCAACACGCCCGTCTACCACGCCTTCCGGCGCTCCGTGGCAGACCCGGCGCTCATCTTCAACCAGCTGCCCAAGCTGCTCTACCCTGAGTACCACAAAGTGCACCAGATGATGAGCCAGCAGCAGCACCAGCCCGGAGAGTCACCAGCCGACATGGTGAGCCAGCGCCTTTCATCGCTCAGAGACGACCGAGCTCGCTCTCCCTGCTCCTACCCAGGCTACCTCAGCTTCCCCAAGCACCGCGTCGTCGCCTTCAAACCCGACGGCAAGTGCGTGCTGGAAGGCGAAGGCGGCCAGCAGACGGTCCTGCAGGTCTCCATGGCGCTGGTATTGATCGGTGCCCATCCAAACTTGTCGTTCCTTCCCGAGCAGGGCCGCCCGCTTGCCCTGGAGCCGGACGAGCCCATCAGCTGCCGGCGGAATCCTGTCGACGTGGACCCGTATACGTATGAGAGCATGAAGGAGGCGGGGCTTTACGCCATGGGGCCGCTGGTGGGAGAGAACTTTGTACGCTTCCTGAAGGGCGGTGCGCTTGCCATCGCGTGTGACCTGGCGCGAAAACAGACAGTGAGTGGACAGAAGAACGTGCAGGAAAGTTCTGCCGGACAGTCGCTGAGCTGTCAGCTGTCTAACTGCACTCTGGATGCATAGAAAGTAGACAGTGAGGGACAGAGTAGGTAGGAAATGGGTTGACTCGATTGTTAAGGGTCTCAGATTTGCAGTCTTTCTCGGCTCCGCTCTCTCAGCAGCTACAAGTCCACAACGAGAGAGACGGCACAGCCAGTGCATGAGGAGAAGAGAAAGGAAGGCAGAGGGCATTAAGAGGAGGAACAGAGAGAATAATAAGTATGTTTGTGTGCACTAAACGACCAAAAGTAGCCAGACGGCTACTAAGGTCACCTTGCCTCGGGCTGTCGAGCATCCATCCAGCTCCATCCATTACCTTTGAAATGAGTTGGAGTGATCCAGAGCTGACCATCCAACACCTGTCCAAGAGTAAACATATATAATAATACTTTTTAATGCAGTAAAAAAGTAAAAGGACCTCAGCAAAAAACAGAAATACAAAGTGCAGAAATAGCAGCTCAAAAAACTGCTTAAATACTGAGTAACTTGTACGACTGCAGTGGACCTACTGCTTAGTACATCCAGCATCTATCAGTAAAGGAACTGTATAAATATATAAATAAAGCTCCGTTTTTCTCTTTTTGGATTAAAATAAAATGCAGCCCTTATACGGAAACTAAGCTGAAAAAGAACAGCTTCAGATTCAAATTCAGTTTTTGTGATGCCATAAAAACTACTTTACTAAACGGCCTATAGCAGCTAAGCCCCGCCCATTCATGCTGAGTGTTTCAGCCCAGACTGCTCATTTACATGTATCTCTCTTAAAGGCACAGTGACAGCCTGTTTAAAAATGATGGTTCTTTAAGGGTTCTTCAGATTGATGAAGGGTGTTTTTATATGGTTCTATTTAGAACCATCTTTATAGCACCAGAAAGGGTTCTTCTATTGTTACAGGCTTGACATCGTAACAGTGAAGGACCCTTTTTGGTGCTATATAGAACCCTTTTCAAAAAGGTTCTACAGCACTTTCTCCATCAATCTAAAGAAACATCTCACCATGAAAAGAATCCTTTAATCATGCAAAGGGTTTTTCAACTGTTCATGGTTCTATACAGAACCATTTTCTTTACTAAAGAACCCTTAAAGAACCATCATTTTTAAGGGTGTAGGGGGTGGAGAGAAATTGGAAACTTGAAGATTTCTCAAACCGTTAGCTGTGGGGCTATGTAACGTAACTGTAATGTAATTATATTTTATTCAGTGTTTTAATTGGCCTATTCATCTTTAAGAGTTTAAAATATGTCAAAAACAGGCAGATTTTGGTCTGAGAGCCTCAGCCGCACCGTTTAAGGTGCACCTCCAGCCTCGTGGTTCCTCTGCTGATAGATATCCTGGGTGTCTGGAGCTCCTTAATGCTCTTAGTGAATGCTGAATGCAATCAGATCCTCACAGCAGTGCCTCACAATGTCTTTCCAGAAGAGTAGAGGCTGTTACTGCAGTAAAGGGCTCATTAAACCCTTCATTACAGAAGAAAACTAGAGCTTTTGGTCGTGTAGTGCTGACGTTATTGGTCGTTTCAGGAGGTCAGATGAGCCGTTGGCTCTGAGCGCTGACTCAGATATTCCTGGTTAATGTTTGACTCGCCGCTCAGACGTACGTGACGCAGAACTGTGTCAGTGGATCGTGGCGCTGGAGCACTTCAGGGATTATCACTGTTGTTTAATAAGCGCGTAATAAGCGTGGTGCAGCACGGTCACCGTGACACGAGCGGCCTGTTTATACTCATCATACTTTTACATGGAAAATGTAAATATTACCGTTATGTTTTTATGAATGATGCATTTATCAAGACTCAAAAGCAGCGATGATGGACAGCATGAGTTCTTCAAGTGAAGAAGAAGCAGAGATTTCAACTTTGCCAAGCAAATTTACTCTTCGTATCAGTCCTGGTACTGACTTACCTTCATTTCCTGATTTCTTTCATTTGTTGAATGTATGAAGTCTATAACACGTCTTTATTGACAAAAACAGCATGTTTTACTTTTAACCACTTGAGTAAAGTCAGCGTGTTCGCTAGGCCGACGCAGAGTGTCTACAAGTAATCTCCTAAAAAAGATGGTTCTTCAAGGGTCCTTTAGCAAGGACAGTGGTTGTACATGGTTCTATACGTGTTACAGTAAAAGAAGCATTTTTGGTGCTAAATAGAAAAAAGGTTCTATGTACAGCACGTTCTCCATCAATCTGAAGAGCCATTTCACCATGCAGAGAACCATTTAAGCATGCAAAGTGTTCTTGGTTCTATACAGAACCATTTTCCTTACTAAGGAACCCTTGAAGAACCGTATTTTTTAGAGTGTAGGTTTATATACATTAATACAGTACTGTGCAAACGTTTTAGGCAGCTGAAAAAAGATCTAAGCAGAAAGTAATATTATAATACATAACACAGTCCGTAGTCATACGATTAGTGCTTATGTCTGCTTTATCTGATCAATATCTAATCAACACTTCATTAAATTAAATCATCTGCTGCTGATTTAATTTAATAAATCCCACAAACTTTATTCTTCAAAACTAGCTCATAAGATATCAGCTACCTTTCTGAAAACAAGAAATTAATGCTAATTTTTACTGTATTGTATTGTTTATTTACATTTATTCTAATGTTAAATCATGTTTTTACAAGGAAAATACATTTATTGGCCAAATAAACGGTTTCAAACAACGTGCTTAGGTAAGACTTTTGCACAGTGCTGTGTTAGAGCTGGGAGATATGGCAAAAATACAGTATTGTGATACTTCAGGACATTTTTACGATACACAATATGTCACGATATTTATTTTTCCAGACATCTGATCAGTCGGAACAAAGAAAAAAGAACTACATTTTAAAAAATACCATTATAAACTGTGAATGCTATGACTTTTATTCAACATTCGTCACTAAATCCAGTTAAACAGGACTAATTTTGCTCTCTTTATAATGCAGTTGATCCGTGTTCAAGTTCTGACGATACACACGATATGTTCAGAAAGGCATATTGTATTGTGATATAATTTATCACGATAATATTGCCCAGCTGTAGTACTTAAGGCCTGTAATGTTCTGGATGTGTTATATTATGTATATTTTCATGTTATTTTATACGTTAATCATGTTTGTATTCATTCACACTGGCATTTTATTTGAACCCTTTAGCTAGGGGACTTTTGTTTTATAAAATAAGAGCGTTCTGGCCTCTCCTGGTCTGTATGATGGTCTACGTGTCCAAATGATATTGGAGAAAACTTGAGATGTTGAAGAAATCGATGGTTCACTGATACAGGCGTCTTATGCAGGGCTGTAAAAGTTTAAAAGCTCATTTACGCACAAAAAGTGAGGAAATATTGTAGAGAAAGTCCTAAATGTGCTAAGAGGAAGAGAACAGATACAGATATGATCTCTTAACCTGAACGCAGATCACAGTTCACAGGGAAATCGAGTGTAGAGGTGTAACGATTCACGCTTACGATTCAGTTCTCGATTCTGAGATCGAGATTCGATTGTTGATATTTTAAAGTTGTAAAAATACAGATTCTACATTACAAACACACTTAAAAAAGATGGTTCTGTAAGAGTTTATATATATATATATATATATATAACCAAAAAAGGGTTCTTCTGTTACGATGTAAAGCTTTTTTTGCTGCTATATAGAACCATTTTTTCAAAAGGTGCTATGTAGAACCATCTTCAGCACATCCTCAGTCAATCTGAAGAACCATTTTATGCAAAGAACCATTTAAGCATGCTTTGAGTGTTCATGGTTCTGTATAGAACCATTTTCTTTTCTACACTCTTAGCAAAAAGGGTTCTGTATAGTAGCAAAAAAGGGTTCTCTTGGCTTGTGGCTTGTAACAATAGTGGAACCCCTTTAGGTGCTGTATATATCTTTTCAAAAAGGGTTCTATATACAACCATCTGCAAGACATTCTCCATCAGTCTGAAGAACCATTTCATGAAGCAAAGAAACCTTTACTCACGCAAGAGGTTCTTTGAGTGTTCATGGTTTAATATAGAACCATTTTCTTTACTAAAGAACCTTTGAAGAACAAAAAAAAATCTTCTTTGTATGAAGCCTCACATAGAATCTGCTCTGATTCTGACTGAGCATTAATTGGGACTGATTACTGTTTAAATTCTTTTAACGTTACACCTTTACTGTGAAGCTGAAAAGGAAATCTGTTGGAAGTGTTGAAAAGTTGTGGAATGTTTAGTGGAGAACCCTGTAAATACAGAAGCAGCTAAATTAGGAGGCTGTACTGACCAGTTTTGAACACAAGAGGGCCTTACAGTACACTGACCCTGCAGGCAGCAGCGTTACATCACCCTGATGTCACCTTATGCAATTTAAACTCATTAAATCAAACAAGAAGCCTAAATAACCTCAGAGCCTCTTGTTAACATAATGTTGATGACGTTTAGGGCGTTTGGGCCAAATTCCTGTCATTAGAGGCCTTAAACAGCGCGGAAATCAGATACCACACACTTTACCTTCACCTGAGAGACGGAATACAAACAGAAAATACATGTTGAGATAATTTTCATGGATTATTTTTATTTATGCAACATATTTGTGTACTGATTCACAGAAGCAGCTTTCTTTTGTCATTTTTGAGGAAATACTTTATATAAAAAGCACGGTGATCCGGAATAACACATTCCAGATGAGATTTTATAATGTTAATGAAATATTATCTTTGTGGTAAATGACATGCAGTCACCATTGTCACATTGTCACCAGCTTCAAAATGTCATTTAATGTCCATGTTTTGTGACGATTGTGAAGTTCATGCACTGTTTGTGTGAATGGATTGTACAATAATGTGCAAAAAAAATGCCACTAAAAATGTAATAAATTATCATGTTTTTCACTAAATGGTGTTTTGGGGTCTTCCATGTCGCAATTCCACTGTTTCACCACACGAGGGCAGAAAAGTCTTTACAAGTGGCCTAGAAGATGAATCAAATACAAGCCATACATATAATAATTATAATAACATTCATAATAATAACGATGATGATAATAATTCTGGTAATAATCATAATAATACTGCTTCTACTAATAATAGTACATTCAAAATGAAAATTGTAAGTTGACCTGAAATTTGGAAAGTGAGTTTGGGTTTGAGAAAAGCACTATATAACTTACATTTATTACATTATATGATTTTATTTATTTATTTATTTATTTAAATTATGATGAGAAGCAACACTAATAGATACAATTAAAAGATAAATACATTAAGTAGTGCTGCCCAAAGTGTGATGACGTTTGACATATACACCCATACGCCTCATATCTCATCTATGATCTCTATTAATAACAGTAATTATCAGAGCCGCTCAGTGACTGGATCACCTGTCAGGTACTGAGAGTTTTACTGAACTGGGAGAATCTGCTTTTATCTACAGGGAGCTGGAGTCACTACAGGAGACTCTACAGCTCACTCACTGGAGTCACTCAGTCATTTAAAAAGTCTCTAACCAGCTTCAGACAGACTGTTTTAGTGGAGTTTAACCTTTCCTGTCTCCTTTTATTTAATTGTATTATTATTTTTCATTATTCTTATTTTTAATAATAATAATTATTATAATTATTGATCTTTCTTTTACTGTCCTATTTTAATAAATAATTTTTCTGCTAAGATTTTTAGTTTTTTTGTTGATTATTTTGTTAGTTGGTTCTTTTACTTACTTTTAATGTGTTTTCATGATATTTTTAATGCTATTTTATGCCTGTTTCTTATTTGAGCTGTTATTCTTTTTATTTTTTATAAATCTTCTTGTCTTGGCTAAAAATTTAATTGTATCTTTTTTAGTCCCTGTTTAACTCGCTCAGCTACGCTGTAAATGAGGGTCACCCTGACTGTACTACTGAGTAGAAATAAGCATTGATTGATTGATCTATGTACCTGAACATTGAACAGAATGTGAGAAACGTACATACTCTGCATGTCTGTACATCACAGTATGTGAAATGAAGTCACACATACTTCACATGTGTTTCACGTCATGCTGTTTTAGAGGCACCTTGTGAAGATCATCTATAACTGAGTAATAAACTGGAGGCGGGAACAGCAGCTGCTGCATCTTCACCAGATAAACCGCACCAGCATGCAGGAAGCTGAGAGAATGTAGGCCCAGCAGACAGCAAGGTGACCTCCCTCTCTCTCCCTCTCTCTCTCTCCCTCTCTCTCCCTCTCTCCCTCTCGCTCCCTCTCTCCCTCTCGCTCTCTCCCTCTCTTTCTCTCTCCCTTTATCTCTCCCTCTCTCTCCCTCTCTCCCTCTCTCCCTCTCTCTCTCTCTCCCTCTCTCTTTCTCCCTCTCTCTTTCTCCCTCTCTCTGTCTCTCTCTCTCCCTCTCTCTCTCTCTCTCTCGCTCTCTCTCTCTCTCTCTCCCTGTCTCTCTCTCTCTCTCTCTCTGAGCAGACTGAGCCACTGGGGGGCCGCGCGAGCTGTGATGGAGAGTCTGACTGGGTTGCTATGAGACCGCTGATCTAAAAGCTAGAACAGATTTAAGCTGCATAACAGAAGGAGAACTCCACCAACTTTTCTAAATTCCTGCATAATTAACCGGTTAAGATGTAAACAGAGCGGTTCAGAGTGGTTTGGTGTGAAACGCTCTGTTCTAGAGAAACTTACCGAGTCAGAACTGTTCACAGTGGTGGTGATAGGAACCAGACGTCCACCTCTAAAAGCTCCCTCACAGAAAGTTCCTACATGAAATGGTTATGAATTCACTGCCTGATGACTGAGACACTGTTTTATGATAGTTTAGAGAACTTAAACTCCATTCATGGTGGAGGGATACATGCAGGGCGCTGTGAGGCAAAATAGTCCCCAAAGAAAACTTATTATTTCAGATTTTCCACTATTTTCCATCATCAACATTCCATATAGACTCAGAAGACTCGTGTAGGTTCACTGGTGGTTTTGGATAGTAAATAAAATGTCTATATCTGTGTTGTAGTCATGGCGACCCCTGGTTCCTATCACCACCACTGTAAAGACATCTGAACCATTTCACCCCAAACCTCTCTGAATCTCTCAGCCACTGAATTATGATGGTATTTGGGCAAATGTTTTTGAAAATTGGTGAACTTGTCCTTTGAAAACCTGTTTGGGAAGAATTGAAGGCTGTATTTGAAACCTGGAGGCAGCGTAACAGCAGAACCTCACTGGTTTTGGATTATAGAACAGTGGTTCTCTGTTTAACTCAGATTAAATTAGAGCTGGATGATATATCGTCTACATTGGTATACCGCAATACTGATTTTCCGTTTTAGTGATATTTTAATAAATGATGAGTATTCAATCAGTCAATCAATCAACTTCAATGTAGCCAAGCTTTTTCAACATTAAAGGGATTAAAAAAGAAATTAAAATGTAATTTAATCAGGTTAAACTAAAAAGAACAAAACTACATAAACAAATTAACAGAAAAAACAGACTAGATAGATGGTAATCGAATTAAGAGAACAATGAAGAATTGATTAAGAAGGAGAAATATACAATAAAACCAAGATAATAAACAAATTAATAGGATTTCAACATAAAAGGATAAATAGGCAAACTAACATTTAAAGCATGTCAGGTAAAACGGTTATAAAAGGTGAGATAGAATTAAGATAAAATGAAATGAAATAAAATAAAATAATGAGCATTATAACACTGAACAAAACAGTCCAATTAGAACAAATTCTGTCAAATTCATTTTTTTTATTTATTTATATGGTTATTAGACATTCTTTTAATGTTGAATATCATTAACTTTATTGCTCTTACATTGCAATATATTTAGAAAATATATTGAATTTTATCAGTAATTAGACAGTCACTGAAGTTCCATCTTAAATATTACAAAATAAAAGTTGCTTTCACATCAAATCTTTGCCATGCTCTAATGGTAGCACTTTATATAGCAATTTAAAATAAAAACATGTAAAAAATATATAATAGCTGTCAGACATTTTCATTCTGGACAATTTCTATTTGCACATCATTAAAATTTTAAAATTTTAAATTATTTAATTATTTAATGGGTTAATTATTTAAATTTATTTTAAATATGATAAAAATGGAAATACAAGGTTTTGATTTGACAACGATATTATAAATAATTTGTGCCATTATAAATATAATATTATGTCATTATATAAATTTGTATAATTTTAATTGTTGTCATTCACTTTCAGGGAACACCATTTGCGAGGGAACCGTAAATTATTGCAGAACACAGTCTGTTTTTTCTAACCCCGCCCCCTTAGGGGCTCCCTAACAAGCCTTCAGCTCTTTACTGTGTTTTTATCCTCTGTTGTTCTTAATGTTCATAGTCTGAACACCTGCAGCCTCACACCGTCCAATAAACTCTCCACACGCTTAAAAAGATGGTTCTGCAGGGTTCTTCAGTAAAGGCTGTGGTTCTGTTTAGAACCGTGAGTTCTGTGTAGAATCATCTGCATGCTTGAAGTGTTCTCTGCATGTTGAAATGGTTCTACAGATTGATGAAGAATGGTTCTGCATAGAACCAAAAAGGGTTCTACTGGTGTTGAGATGATAAGCTTGCATACAATAGAAGAAACCTTATACAGCACATTCTCCATCAATCTGAAGAGCCATTTTACCATGCAGAAAACCATTTGAGCAGGAAATGGTTCTATACAGAACTCATGGTTCTAAATAGGACCATTGCCTTCACTGAAGAACCCTTGTAGAAACATCTTTTTAATACAAGAGCAATATGTAGAATTTGTAAAAAATATTCTTTGACATTATTTTTAGATGTATGTGTTTATTTGTTTTTTTATCAGTTATAAAAACCTTTTTTGCTTTTTTTTCTTGTTTCTTTTCTTATTTATTCTGAACGTTTTATCTTTTAGTACCTTGTAAAGCGCTATGAAGTGCTCTGTTGTAGGAGAGGTGCTATATAAATAAAGATTATTATTATTATTACTGTTTCGAGATGCTGTGATGTCCATTTGGCGCCGATCTCATGGAAAGACTCCAAAACTGAGATGTTTATTTTCGATTCTCCGGAAAGAGCCGAAGTTTCATTTTCGACTCTCCGGAAAAAGTCGAAGATTCCCGAACGCCTTTCGCTCCACCCCGAAGAGGGATCGGCGACTGGGAGCCTTTCACACACGCGCGCGCAGGAGAGAGGCGAGAGGAGGGAATGTGCTGAAATCACCTCAGAGTGAGAGAGAGCGGCTCTGCGGAGCTCAGCGTGGAGAAACTTCACTCAGGCAGGAATCACCGCGCTCAGCCGGGAATCCTGCACGCTTCAGGCGGCGGAGTGGAGGGTTTTTAGTGGCAGCGCCGAACGGGAGGATGTTGAAGGCGGAGGGAGGCTGAACCGAACCGAACCGGCCGGGTTTACTGACCTCCCCGCGGCTATCGATCCCTCCTCACATCGCCGCTTCTAACGTTACGCTACTAGCCAGGTAGTTTTCGGTGCTCATTTAAACGTGGATTTTGCCGGTTTGGCTCTGACTGAGAGCCGATACAGCGGAGTGAAAGCCCGTTTTTCGAAAGGACCGACGTTTTTACCCTGTTTCGTGCACTTTTTACGCGAAAACGAGATGAATTTAGACCTGTTTACTAAGTTAGCGAGCTAGTAGGAGGACTAGTTAGCCGGCTAGCCAGGCTAGCTGAGCTGAGCTGAGCTGAGGAATATCGCGACTCCACGGATTGTTTTCATTTCTTTTTCGCCCTTTTTCTCTTGATAATTCACTCACAGATCACCGTAAATCACCAAGAGCGGCTGTTTATACCCCGACAGAGCCAATTGTGTCCCTCGAAGGTAACCCCTGAGTTTTTTCTGGAATTTTTTTTCGTTCGGACGTGTAAAATGGATGCGGGAATGGAGAAGGAGTGCAGCGCTTTGGGAGGGCTCTTCCAAACCGTCATGAACGACATGAAGGTAAGTCCAGACGGATGGATAAAAACGACATTTTCTGACATTTCTGCTCTTCCACCGCGTGTATAAAGGCCACAGCGTGTGTAGGAAAGCCGTGAGTGTGAGTTATCCTCCAGCTGTTGGGCATTTAGGGCTCCACAACAGCAGCAGAGACGCTTCACTTTGGCTGTTTTGGCTGGCAACAGTTCTCTGGTTGGTCCACTGGAAACTGAAGACTCCTAACGGCTTAGAGGGGAGGGAAAGATAGTGAAAAATAATAAAATAAACCTAAATAAAGCGCGTTTGGCCCGGAATCACTGTCAAAATCTGGTGCATCCAACGTAGAGGTGGGCAGTGTGACGATATATTATCGTTATCGCGATTCAGTTAGGCTGCAGAGCGATTTTCTGAACGTATCGTGCGCTCTTAAAAAAGACGGTTTTGCAAGGCTTCTTTTGCAAAGGCGATGGTTCTGTGTCGAACCGCGTGGTCTGTACAGAAGCATCTCATGCTTAAATAGTTCTTTGCATGGTGAAATGGTTCTACAGACTGACGGAGAATGTGTACAGAGCCAAGCTTGACATCATAACACTAGAACGACACTTTTCGGTGCTATAAAGAACCATTTTCAAAAAGGGTCTGCATAGAAACATACACCACGCATTCCCTGTCAGTCTGAAGAACCATTTCATCATGCAGAGAGCCATTTTAGCATGAAATTGAACTCATGGTTCTAAATAGAACCACCCTCTCTACTAAAGAACCCTAGAAGAGCCATCTTATTTAAGAGTGTGGCTGTGGTCTGGGTTTAGTGCAGTGCAGTGTAGTGTGTGAAACAGAATAAAAGTCACTGCTCTCGATGTGATATCGAGACACGATATGTCACGATTTGCTGTTTTTTATTCTGACATCTGATAAATTGGAAAAGACAGTAGTAGCTTAGAAATAGCGCCACACTTACAAAACAATATGAACATATGAATCCAGTGGTTTATATTCAACATTTCACACACTGCGTGTTCAAAACGCAGTAAAACAAACTAATTGTCTCTCTCTTTGTGATCAGACAGGCAGTTGGGAGTTGTTTTTAAGTACTGACAATATCCACAGTAACCTCAGAGAAGCATATTGGGACACGTTGTGATGTAATTTATCACAATAATGATGAATATTGTCATATTGCCCAGCCCTAGCGCTGCTATAAGTAGAGATGGAAGGATAGATCGGCTGTGAATCGGTATCAGCTGATTTTTAGCCCAAATACCCGGTTGCTGTAAACTCACTGTATAGAGCTGTAATTATCACAGTTTGCTGTTAAAGCTTTGATTATTTGTTTCTGATAGCACGATGTTTCAGTTTAGCAGCCAGTATCAGTCGCACAGCACAGTTATAACAATAAGGGTGGTACAAGATGAAAAGAAGAATATACAGGCTCAGCAAAAATTGTCAACTATAAGTAAAACTGTTAACTATAGATAAATCTGTAGGAATATATGTAGGCAGGAATATATACAAAAAACTTATCTATAGACATACATACAAACTAGGAAATATACAAAAATATGCAATAAGATCTATCCTGAGATAAAAAGGCAGTGCAATAATGAATGTATAAGGAGGTGCAGGTAACAGCATATAATGACAGTTAAGCAATAGAACACAAGATGTGATTTGGTCGCCGTAGATCATCACAGCCTTGATGTTATTGGTGATAACACACTCCTCGAGTGCTCTATTGCTTTTATACATCAGTTAAATAAATAAAGTAAGAAGTAAATAAACTGGGTCGTGAACGCGGCGTTTAATATGTTTTAATGTTTGCAGTTCCTTCACCAAATTATTTTCCAAAGCTTTTCCAGTGTCTTATCTCTGTTGACCTGAGCTGGATTTGTTATTTAACGCCTCAAAGGAAGAGAAAAACATGCAGATATCATTTGTACTCAGACACTTCAGACTGTAGTGATAACGTGATAGAGGTTGGGAAAATGACGATATGTTATCGTTAACGTAATTAAATTACGCTGCTGTGCATATCCTGGATATAGTGGATATTGTCAGTCTGTTTAATGGGCTTACAGTGTGTACAGCTGAGCGGTACAGCAGTATTTATCATTATCGTGATCACATTATGTCACAATATGCTTTTCTGAGTATATCGTGAGCTTCATCAGTACATAAACACCAATCTTAACTGCAGGTTTGATTAACAAAGAGTAATTAGTCCCATTTATTTGGATCATTTGGATTAAGTGCAGCACAGTGTGTGAAATGTCGAATACAAATAATCAAATTTATAGGTTTTGATAGTATTTTTAAAATGTGTGCTTACTTTGTCTGTTCAAACTTATCAGATGTTAAAAAAAGAAATATCGTGACGCATCGTGTGTCGTATTGTGTATCGTATAAGTATTGTGATATGTCATTTTGGCATATCTTCCGCCTCTATTTATGTGAATAAAATCAGTGCTTTTATAGTTCTTATTTCTTTTTAAGTGGCACCAAATTGCAGAACGAAATATTGAGATTTGTTTCGTGAAAATGTCCAAAAGTATTATGATGCTGTTTGGCTGCACTTGATCTTTCCAGTGTCTTCTCTCCTCCCGTGACACTGGGTTTGTTTTTTTATGCCTTAAAGGAAGTAAGAAACATGGCAAACATCCTTAGGATTGACTCAGACACTTAAACTGATGTAATAAATATGATTTGTCAGAGCTGAGGCTTCACGTAGGCAGTGCTGCAGCAGTTCCTGTAATAATAAAAGGGAAATACTCATTGTGTTGGCACGGATTCCGGGGAAGATGAACGCCTAGACATCTTTTGGGGCCAACTCTAGTCTGTTTTAGGTGCAGGAGAGTGGAAATGGGCCATTTGACTCAGAGGAAAACTGGAGCATGCAGGATATCCCCCTGTGTGTGTGTGTGTGTGTGTGTGTGTGTGTGTGTGTGTGTGTACGTTTTAGCGATTAGTGTGTTCTGTAAGATCCGAGGAAATGACCTCCAGCATTTAGATTAGCAATAAGGCGCCGTATACACTCTTCATCGGGCGACCTTGATTTGCCAACCCTGTTAACGTTGATTTGCATATTCCGGGTGCCATGAGCGTAAATATAGGAATAAAGGAGCCCAACCCAACCTACAGGCTTCAAGGAGCTCCTCAAACATTTCTCCAATAACCTGTTTTAGCACGTCAGGTGATGTGGAAGCTAAGGCCTGCTTGATGTGAAAATGTTGTGGTCAGCATGAATTTTAAAGGTGCAGTGTGTGAGATTTTGGGGGATCTATTAGCAGAAATGGAATATACTGTACATAAGTATGTCTTCATTAGTGTATAATCACCTGTAACTCATTGTTTTCGTTAGCTTAGAATGAGCCCTTTATATATCTACATAGGAGCGGCTCCTCTTCCAACAGAGGCTGCTGTGCACGTTGCTCTACAGTAGCCCAGAACGAACAAACCAAACTCTGGCTCTAGGGAGCACCTTTCACGTTTCATCTTATTACGCTGAAGCAGCAGCTTAAATTTGGTGGTGCTACAGCACCATGTAGGAAAAATGACGAATCCTTGCCGAAATGTCCTACATATTTATCCGTAGCTCCGTACATAAAACTCCAGTTAAGATATTTTGATCGCTTAAATCTCCTCATTAAAAATACTACAAGCCTGAAATCAGCTTCGTATTCGCCAGCTTCTTCTTCAAATTCTCCCGTTCCGCCTTAAATGGCGCAGCAGTTATTATAATGGCTCAGGCACCGGAATGTAAATGCAGGACCATTTAAGGTGGAATGGGAAAATTCTAAATAACTTTATCTGTGTTTTAATATTTTTACTTGTGTATCTTTAGTTAAAGCTGCAGTATGTAAGTTTGGGGTATTTGGAGACCCCTCTGACTGAAACGTGGAATTGCACTTGCCTGGGAAGACAAATCTGACGATTGAAAGTGAATTCAAAGAGAACTCAGTCTAAACTTGGTGAAGCAGCGTCTCTGAGGATGTGAGTGAATTATCTACTACTGTATCACATCTTCATCAGTGTGATGTTGATTCTGAGATCATTTGAGGCCGAAACATCGAGCCGGACCTTCTTTTTGAGTCTGTGTGTCACATTAATACGTTAAGACGTACGACGTGGTGTGAAAAACTCGACGCCTTTGACTTGGTTATTTCAGGCTTCACAGGGCGACTCACAGCAGCTCACGCTCACTATATTTTAGCCTGTTTTTATCCTCCAAAATGGTCACTGATTATCGGTGCATTATTGGTGATTTTTCAGTACCAATAAAACTGTGGATAAAACCGTGTGTCAATTTCGGCCAGTATGTCTGCGTAAACCGCAGAAAATGAGCATCCTCACGTTTCTGGAAAGAAACTGGTTTTGAGGCTATTAGACTGAGTTATATTGAATTCTCCTTAATGTCGTTAACAACTTTGATGCAATTACAAGATCATATTTGTCCTGGTCATGTTTCACAGTGAAAGAGCCTTCTGTGAGTGGAGGCCTGCAGCACAGCCTCGTCTGATTAGCAACTGGTGTTATTGAAGGTTTGACTAGTTTTGAAGGGGAACTCCACCGATTTTTCAAAAAAAAATTCTACATAAAAAATTATTATGACTTGAACAAAGTCATGGTGTGAAACGCTCCGTTTTAGAGACACTTGGAGTCGGAGTTGTTCACAGTGGTGGGGATAGGAACCAGACGTCCACCTCAAAAGCCCAGAGCTCCCTCAGAACAAGTTGGTACATGAAGTGGTGAGATATGTGCTGTCTGCTGTCTAAGACATTTGTTTTATCATAAATTTTGGGCTTAAAATGTGTTTGTGTTTACATCACAAGAACTAAATTATTCAATTTTTTTTTTGAATGGTGGAATTCCCTTTAATAAATTGCTGGAAAAGCAGCTAAGTGGACTCTGTATTGTCCTAAAGCTTTTCTGTTATGAAAATGAATGGTTATAGTAACTCACTGACTCACTCACTCACCATCTAAGCTGCTTATCCTCTTGGGTCAAGGGGGGTCAGTGCATCGATA